CGAGAAATGTCACATAAAATGACATTTAATGCCAATCGGAGAAAAAATTGATTGATACCGAAAATTCTGCCACTGTCTAAGAATAGATCTTAAATAGCCAAAGGGGCTTTTAATTATGATGTCTATAAAGACACATCAGTATTGGCCAAATAGTGTTTAAAAATCAAAATAACGAGAAGGACTTATCTCTTTTTGCCACAATTTAATTACCATTAATATAAGCATACAATCTATACCATAATGGGATTTTTTTAATATTACAATTTGAAAAAACTGCGGCAATCATCTCTGCTTTTTAAAAAAACACAAAACAACCCGTATCAAAATTGGCTACTATCATTAGTTATTTGTAAAATTTGTAGTTTTTTTTGTAAATTGATCCAGAAAGCTCTATTAGCTTCTGAATTTTAATATTAGTAAAAAATAACTACATAGTCCACCAGAATTATGTTTTATGGGCGATATTTTTGGTACAGCATGGAGACACAGGTAATAATGAAGGTTTTGATTTAGTTTGACAAAATTTCACTATGCACAGAGATGAGAATGATCGGAACATACATACATATATTTATTTATTTATTTATTTGTTACACCACCCAACAGTATTTACTGGGTAGGAAAGAGAAAACATTAGAATAAAAATAAAAATACGAAGCTGTTGAAGAGCTATAGAATACAATGTAAACATCCAGAAATAAACTGACGGAATACAGAAAAAAAAAATGGTTGTTTACATTGCATTACATGCTTTACATAATTTTTTTTTTCATTGTTAAAGAAAAAACATTTTTAATCATATATTTGTTAGATGCAAAAATATCCAAGCTGTCTTGAATTTCATAATATTTCTGAATAGATTGGAACATTGAAGATGAGTTCAAAACATTAGTTCTAGAAGCTGGCATGTATAAACTTAAGTAAACTCTTAAACCAGCACGGGGGATTTTTAGATTAACGTAATTTAACAAATCAATACTGTCGACTAATCCATTTAAAAGATTATAAAGTAGGAGTACCTGTTGGGAATTTCTGCGTTTCACGAGCTCAGAGAGATTGAATCTAGGTATTAGTAAATCGTGGGGATATCCCGTTGTAGGGTATACGAGGTCTGTAAATTAAGTAATGAGACTGGCAACGTTACGTTTGATCTGGCAACACTGGAAGCACGGGGCTTAGTGGGGCGGCAGAGGAACATGTGATCCACCTTCAGTACGAGTTTCACCTCGCTCGAGTCATTTGGTTGTGCGTAACGATTGTTTTTGTGAAACAGTTTTTTCTATTGTGTTCTAAAAATGAATGACATCAATTTCGAGCAACGGTGTCAGGTTTTGCTTCAGACTTGGGCACAGTGCAACGAAACCTCTTCTGAAACTTCGGAGATAGTGTTTTGTCAAGGGCCCAGGTTTTTCTTTGGTTTAAGGCATTTTCAGAAGGAAGAGAGTCGATTGAAGATGAAACACGAAGCGGAAGGCCTTCATCTTCAAAGAATTTGTACCCCAAGGTCAAACGGTCAATCAACACTTTTACCGAGATGTTCTTGAAAGACTTCGAAAAAGGGTCATTCGTGTGAGACCAAACATCAAGAACAAGTGGGTGTTGCATCACGATAATGCTCCTTGTCACATAGCAATTTCAATAAACGGGTTTTTGGCCAGTAAAAACATTCCTGTGGCACCTCAGCCTCCTTATTTGCCTGACTTGAGTCCTTGTGACTTTTTTCTCTTCCCAAAGTTTAAAAGTCACCTCAAGGGAAATCATTTTGGGACGGTCGAAAAAATTGAAACGGCTGTAACCGACCAGCTGAAGGTTATTTCAGTATCGGAGTTCCAGCACTGCTATGAGGAGTGGAAGAAACGTCTCCAGCGCTGTGTGGCCTCAAAAGGAAGTTATTTTGAAGGTGAAAATATTGAATTTTAATTCTTTTTGTATAAAAAATTAAAAAAAAATCAGTCTCATTACTTAATTTACAGACCTCTATACCATCTAAAATGTAGGAAGCCAATTTCATGAATTTTTTTTTGAACTTTTTCAAGTAAGCTATTATATAGAATTATTAAGGTGAATATGTCTCGGAATTCTTTACAGCTCCGTATAACAAACCCTAAACTCCTGTTAGCAGCAGATAACATTGTTTTAATGTGTTTAACGAAAGTTAGTTTAGGATCAAAATAAACTTCGAGATCTCTTATAAATTCGGGTCGATTTAGAACAACAACAAAAATTATTGGTGTTACTTTTTAAGTAAAAGGCATTACGGACCACTTCTTTCAGTAGAGGGAGTGAATTATTAAGACACCACTTCGCAATGTCGGACAAACACTTTTGAAGTCGCAAGCAATGGTTAACATAATTGATTTTAAGAAATAATTTTAAGTCGTCGACATACATTAAAATTTTAATATGCTCGATATTAGCGACTATATCATTTATAAAAATTATAAATCAAAGGGGTCCTAAAGTTGATCCATGCGGGGCTCCTGATATGTTTGTTTGAACTTTTGAGACCTGTTACCACGACATTAACAGCCGTATGCATAGTCGATCGCCAGCGACTCGCCAGAGATTCATTTCGGCGTATCGCCAGCGATTCGCTGGCGATCCGACGGCGAAAGCCCTAAACGGTGGCGACTCGCCGGAGATGGTTTTCATTTTCTTTTATAGGAATTATCACCAGTATCTCTCGCATTTTATTCATGATTCATTTCTTAAAACTCAAAAAATAATGAACGAATATCAAATTTTTCTCTATAAAAGAACATGAAAACTTGCATGAAATGACATTACGGTGACAATCTCCGGCGAGTCGCCAGCTTTTTGGGCTTTCGCCGGCGGATCGCCAGCGAATCGCTGGCGATACGCCGAAATGAATCTCTGGCGAGTCGCTGGCGATCAACTATGCATACGGCTGTAAATATATCGATGCCTACCCAACAAATACGAAACAATTAATTAAATGATTTGATCGCATAAACCAATGGAACTTAACTTATGGAGCAAGATGGAATGATCAATTTTGTCGAAGGCCTTGAAGAAATCTGTGTGTATCACATCAACTTGACTTCTCCTATCCAAGGCTTCGGAAATTAATTGCGTCAAACATGTAAATGTTGATCTATTTTTTATGAATCCATGTTGGTCACAAGATATAAGACAGGAAACATGATTGGAAATAGGATCGTGAATAATTATTTTGAATACTTTGGCAAAATTGCAAAGAATGCTTATGGGCCGATAATTACAAACATCAATTTTGCTACCTTTGTGTACCGGAGTAATTCTGGAAATTTTCCAGGCAGTAGGGTTTTAACGGAGTGCCCAAAATTAGGGCACATACTCTGACAAGAAACGAAGTAATAAGGTCAGTACCCATTGATATATTGGGCTTAAGCTTTTTTAGTGCTCTAAAAACTTCATCTTGAGATACAGAATTAAAGTGAAGCAAAGGTAAATTAATGGTAGATTCGTTGATGAAATGATTTATTTGAGTTGGCTTGGAGAAATTGCTTAAAAAGTGATCTGCAAAAGCTTGAACAATTGCCTGTGGATCTTCTATACAGTCATTATTATATTCAATAGTAGTGGGTATGAAATAGGAAGAATTTTTTGAATTTATGTATGACCAGAATTGTTTTGGATTATTTTTAATATTATTTTCAATTGATCTAAAATATGAGGAGTGAGCTATAGAAATATCTTGTTTAATTTGGTCTCGAAGGTTCTTAAATTTAGTAGATGCATCTATGGAATAAGCGGATTTGTAGGTTTGTCTGGCTTTTTCTTTTTGACGAATCATGCATATTATATGACCATTAAATTTCGGTGGTGTCACGTTTAACGCTTTTAAAATCCTTGTATTTATTTGCAGAAATAATAATGGTGTTTGCCATAGTTTATCTTAGTATTTGCAAAGTTGTTATTTAGCAAGCGTATGTATGTAAAAACGATAGGTACAAAAATGTTCTGCCTAATGGTGTAAAAAATAGGTGCTGCTAAAATATCAAGTCTGCTGAAAGCAGTTAAACTAGATAATCTACTTTGTACACATTTTGTACGTTTTTGTTTTGTTACAAGTCATTTTATTTAGAGATTTACTATTAGAAATGTTTTGGGAAATATTGCAACATCTCGGCCCACAATGCGTCGGGATTTGGAAACACTGCATTAGGTACGAAAATGAATTGGTGGGGACGCTTGATGTGTCGCAATATATCTCGAAACTATTTTAATTAATAAAACTTGTTGCTATTAGTGAGTTATTTTTAAATATGAAAGAGATAAACTTCACAGCCTGACAACAACGCACAAGGAAACGCATGTCGGTTCATTTACGAAATAGCTACGCGCTACGTTTCTTTGCAATGTATGACCGGGTTTTAAATGTAAATAGAGGAGCTTTGATACATATAGCCAAATCCACTTTTTTTTTTGTAATCTATCTGAGGAAGAATTTATGACATACCTTTTTGGAACACCCTGTATATTCTACCGATCATTCTCATCTCTGCGTGTAGTGAAATTTTGTCAAAAGAAGTCAAAACCTTCATTGCTCTCTGGATCTCTATGCTGTACTAAAAATTTTCGTTTCAGGGTATTTTTTTGTCTAATTTCGGTGGATTAACTAAAACTATTAATTTTTTTCAATTAATATTACGGGGGTGTATCAAAAAAAATGTTAAAAGCTAAAATTTTATTAAAGTCGGAAGCAATATTTCGTTCAAAATCGGTATGTTGACATAAAATGTCATTAAAAACAAATATTTCTAATCTTTTTTATATTTAAAAAAATCATTTTGAAAGATTTTTAAAGAAACAAATGCGAATATGACAGAAAACTAATGTCAGTAGCCAACTTTTTTATTCAATCAATATATTAAACTGAGATTCCCACCACATATTTATTCTCCCTTTATAATAAAGATTATTAAATTATGAACAAGAAAAATTCTGTAAATACCTTTTATTGGATGGTTCTATTCATGTGCCACTGTGTTTTTCAGAACTGCTCAGAGATGTCTTCAGAAACCGTGTGCCGTTTTATTTACTAACGTTTCAGGTAATTTACTTATTTTCTAAACTTTCATTTTATATAGGTCATCAGGTAATCGATTATGACGTATACGTAGTTACTAACATGCAAATTAATGACATTTCTTTATAATCTTACTATAACATAAATAGTAACAGTATTGTGGTTACTGTGATGACGTCACACATAACGTTGTAACACTTGTGATTGTCTTATGTCTGTTTACTTTTTATAATTATTGTTTTATTTAATTTCAATTGGTTTATTAATTTAATTATTGTTTCTCGTTAGGCCACTGCTTTCCTTTGCTCAACAGAAAAGTGAGGTTAAAAAGAATTCATTTTTCATTTTATTTTGTGACTTCACGTATTAAAGTTTATTGTAAGGTTGTAACCGTTTATATTGTGAAACATAAAAATACAGTCCATTTTTTAAAGACAAATTATCAAATTTATTTTAACGATTTATTAATATTTGCCGTTATTTCAAATTTTACTATTTTCATATCAGCAGTTTCTACAAAAATGTCAAAACAAGCCCTAATCACACATTTTTCTATGGCAATCACAGATATTGAATATAATTCTAAGCTGTATGGAAAATAACTTTTTCAGTTAAAGAGGTATTTAGATACAAGGAATTGTTTCAAAACCAATTTTGTAAATTGGTCAAATTCGCATAGATCTGTTGCTGCAATAGAATTAAATCTTTATATCTAAAAAATACGATGTGTCTCACACATGACTTTCCTATCTAGTTATTACGTAAAAAAGAAATATTATAGAAATCGATGTCGCAAACACCTTAAAAATCAGAATTTTTACATTTTGAAAAATTTCTCGAATACGGACCATTTTAAGAAAATTTTGTAAGGAACAAAAATTATAGAAAATAATATAAGAAGTAACTTTTATTTAAAAAATTTTCTTCTCCAAACGTAAATAACAGATATATTTCATAAAATATAAAAATGACCCCTTATAAAGTACCCTCCCAGATGTTCCGACTATGCCCAAAATCTAATCAGTTCACCGCAGGCCGGAATAAAGCTTAAGTTTAAAATTTGTTGTTTTTATTTGTATCCGTTTATGAGTTATGGTGGATACAGACACACACACACACACACACACACACACACACGCACGCACGCACTTACGCACGCACGCACGCACGCACGCACGCACGCACGCATGCACGCACGCACACACGTACGCACGCACGCACGCACGCACGCACGCACGCACGCACGCACGCACGCACGCACGCACGCACGCACGCACGCAGGCAGGCAGGCAGGCAGGCAGGCAGGCAGGCAGGCAGGCAGGCAGGCAGGCAGGCAGGCAGGCAGGCAGGCAGGCAGGCAGGCAGGCAGGCAGGCAGGCAGGCACGCACGCACGCACCCACACACACACACACACACACACACACACACACACACACACACACACACACACACACACACACACACACACACACACACACACACACACACACACACACACACACACACACACACACACACACACACACACACACACACACACACACACACACACACACACACACACACACACACACACACACACACACACACACACACACACACACACACACACACACACACACACACACACACACACACACACACACACACACACACACACACACACACACACACACACACACACACACACACACACACACACACACACACACACACACACACACACACACACACACACACACACACACACACACACACACACACACACACACACACACACACACACACACACACACACACACACACACACACACACACACACACACACACACACACACACACACACACACACACACACACACACACACACACACACACACACACACACACACACACACACACACACACACACACACACACACACACACACACACACACACACACACACACACACACACACACACACACACACACACACACACACACACACACACACACACACACACACACACACACACACACACACACACACACACACACACACACACACACACACATACTTTCCTTATATCTGTATACAGATAGGAAAGTAATAAGAGATAAGAGTCATGCAAAGTAGTAAGTAAAGGATTCTGTCAAAATAGACGGTAATTTACTTATTTATGAGAAATGAAGGTTTTGTCGGTATTGTGATCTTTATGGATGCGCGTTAATCTTGAATTTCAATTGTCAATACCTACTGTAACTATTAAAGAGAGATGCAAACAATAGCCTTGTTGTCGGGGGTGATCAGTAAATGATAATATTTTCTTGAATTTGTGTTTGGGTAGCGTGCAGATTTTGAGTTATATTTTATTTTTATTTGTTTGTAGTGTTTTCTGTTGAGTAGTGACTTACTTGTGTTAAAATGCCAAAACATTTAGGTAGTCTAGCAAAGGAAATATTAATATTTCATCTATTCGAATATTTTATGAAAAAAAAAAAAATGTTCCTCGCCAACAAATAGTTTTGAAAAAAAAAAAAACAACGATGATAGTGAAACTTATAGACAATGTGTTGTGAACGATAATTCCAAAACTCTCACTGAAATTAAAGAACAAGTTGCTGAAGCTACAGGATCCTCGGTAAAAACAATTCAACGAATAATTATAGAAGGTGAGATAGCAAACGGTGAAAAATCTACGTCGACCATAACTAAGCAATTGTTTAAAAGTCCAAAAAAGCGCAAAAGAACATCAAGTATACAGATATTCCATCCTACAATATTGGAACAATCAGAGATATAGTTCATAGATTTCACGAAACAGAAGGTATGCGCGTAACAGTAAAAACTATTAGTGAAAAATTAAAAAAGAAAATTGAGTGGAAAGGGAGCTACACATCATTAAGAACTATTTAAAACAAAATTGAGTTCAAGTGGCGAAAAACGCGAAACAACAGACAGGTTCTAATAGAACGACTTGACATCAGGGAAAAAAGAATAGATTATATTAAAAAAAAATAGATATTTTCGTTATAAAAACTGTCGCACCGTGTACATTGATGAAAGTTATATTCATATTAGCCATGCATCATCACATAATTGGGGTAATGATAATGCAAAAGGTTTGTTTTCCACCAAATGCTATTGTAGTTGTGGATAATGAATGCACCGTATCACAATGTTATAGAAAATCCTACTCCGAATTCAAATTTAAGAAAAACTGAAATGATAAACTGGTTGACGTCCAACAATATTGAATTTCAACCTTCCTTATTATGACCACATCTGTAGACATTAATCAAACAGCATAAAAATAGATTCAAGCAATACAAATTTGATAGATTATTCTCCGAACACGGTCATACAGTTTTGAGATTACCACCATACCACCCAGACTTAAATCCAATAGAAATGATCTGGGCTGTAGTAAAAAATAATGTAGCTATAAAGAATATTCATTTTAAATTAGCACATGTACAAATGTTAGCTGAAATTGAATTTAAATCAAGAAGACTGGAAAAAAAGATGTGCACATGTAATAGCTATCGAAGAAAAATATTTAGATCACGAAATTATAATGGATGACGTTTTAATTCCTACAGTTATTATTAATGTTAATGAAGACAGCAGTGATAGTTTTAGTGATAGTGATGATTTTGATGACGATTTTTCAGAAATCTGTTAATTTGTTTATGTTTATTTTGTTTTGATAGTAGTTATAGAAACAAAGAATAGAGGTTAGTATAAATTCAGTATTTTTTGACATATATCATATTTTTAAAAAATCTTCGTTGTCTTATTTTAATATTTGTATGCTGATGACTTTCACCACTTCTTTCACCACTTCACATTTTGTTAAAATATTAAAGATATCAAGTTCAAAATCAACATTTTTTTCAACCAATAAATTTTTTTAACAGAATACATTTTAACTCATAGATAGCAAATAAATTTTAACAAATTCTGTAGTACTTAAAAACCTATTTACATAATTGCGTTTGATCCATTGTGTAGGTAATAGGGTATTTCCTATAATAACATCAAATGATAACCATTCTTAGAAACGAGGGCGGACTCGATTTGACCGTTATTAAGGATTACATTTTAGGTAATTTTCCTAAAATTTTGTGATTAATCTGACCGTAATCGTTTTAAAAATCCTAGGAAATTTACTTTAAGCCAAAGTAGTATACGCTACTGAGCTTTAATAGTAGTCAGTAAGATCGTTTGAAGGTGAGCGCAAACTTTAACCCACTACTGACAAATTAGGAGGCGATGCCTGTACTGCAATGTTATACAGTGGTTACCAACCTCTGTTTATGGTTGTTAAGGAAGTCATAACGGGCTAGCCCGGTAAAAATTTTAACAACGGTTATAACTGAACTGTCAGTTGTAACTAAACTGTCATTATTTTAAGTCACATTCGGAAATTTGTAATGATGGTTCAAAAGATAAAATTTAATTTAATTTTAGGTTGTAAAACCTAGTAAATTGCAGTATATCATAAAACGTTGTACTATACACGCCCGTTACCTGATCTCTACATGCTCGTATGTAAAGATATAGGTAACAGGCTTATAACGTAAACCACTATTTCAAAATTTTAAATTTATTTATTATTTTTGGTTGAATTTAAAACAAGACTGTCAGTAATTTTTGAGGGCTCATACGGTGGTACACCATATTAATTGCAGTCTATATATTTACTCTCTATATTTCCTGCATTAATTTTTTTATCAAAAAATGTGACTTACGATCAATGATTCATTCAAGTATTAAAGTGTCATCCCACTACATCTTATTTGTTTTTCTCTAGTCTTTCGTTGGTGGTTTATATAGAACGAAGAAAATTACCAGCACAAAAACGAAAAACTATCTTTCACTCTACTTGATGGACAGGACTAATCTTATACACCAGTAAAAATCGGTTTTTAAAGTGTTACGATAAGGCTAGTCGGTTTGCAAAAAATTGGGATTATCGAGTTGAAGCTAAAAATATGCTCTTCTATTCCTGCATTTTTTTAGAGACATCCCACATTG